ATTTTAAAAAAGTCAAATTGCACTAGAGCTGCTTCCGCTAATTTGGAACTATGTATGCTGTCCCATTAATGCAACAATATCAGTAGTTTTAAGCACATTCCCACAGACCTGAGCTACGGTAAAATTATAGTTCAGTAGAACAATTAGCAACTGTGGAAACCTGGACCATAAAAGACCAAATGTGGGTTATTGTATATTTGTGTTGATTTTTTGCGTCAGTGGAGATTCTATGGCGTTATTTTTGTGCCACTATTCTGAGTGCACGTAAAAAAAAAAATTGCAGGTACAAGTGTTCCATTTTGAGGAGAAATTTTGAGCGAAGAAAAGCTAAATTTGAGTGAACAAAATTCATTGCTGTGTGCAAAAAATGTATTTCAGTGTTTGCTATTATCCATAGACACACACACAATACCAGCCCCTCTCGCTCAGTTTTTGCATTTGCGCTCACTCGATATGTGTTGCTTGCGCTGTCAACATTTCTGCCCGTGTGCGTTCAACTCTTTCTGTGCACCGTTATATTTGTGCCACAAAACCAGCCAATCACAGACTTGGATGCAAAAAAATCTGATTGGCTGTTTTGGTCTCCAATCAGCTCAAAATGATGAAATGCAATATCCCAGAATCCATTTCGTCCAAAACTCAAACGAGGCAGTGGCGGAGGAACAGAGTGGCGGAGTTTGAAATATTACTCTTTCTGGGTCACAAAATGAACTTTTATGCGAGGATGGTGCTGTGGAAACTAGTGATGTGCAATACCACTGATTTCCTTTCCGATCCGATACCAAGTAAAATTCAGGGTGGTATCGACGATACTGATCCGATACCGATACTTTGTACAAAAACGTATTTTATTTATTGTATCTTTTATTGTATCTCAAATTATAGCGTCATCATGATTACAAGAAATCAGACTACTTGTTCTTATCTCTTAATAATGCAGAATTCATCATATAGAAATAAAAAAACTGAAGTTGTGCGCTATTTGAACACGCTGCCTGCCTGCAGCACTAAAGGACTCCGCGAGAGACATCATATTCTGTGATATGATTTACTCTGAGGTGTTTGACGAGGTTAGTGGTGTTGCCACAACACCTCACTTTCTTGCCACATGTATCACAAACCACGTCTCGCTGTTTGTGGAGGTAAAATACATCCACACATGACTCCATTTACGCTCAGCCATTGTTGTGAGTGCGCATGCCAAGGGGCTGCAACACATTTATACAGCCATATTTCGCATATGACTATGAAAGGTGGAAGAGGAAGTAGTTCCTTCCAGTGTAGACAATCTGAATGATATAGTTTATTTCCACTGTGTTCCTGTTAATGATAAACTACAAATTTGTTCCTAAATTACTAAAACATCGATATTTTAATATGAGAATCGATTCAAGAACATAAATGACTGGTATCGGAGGAATCGATATTTCAGTATCGATCCGCACATCACTAGTGTAAACTTCAAATATCTGCTCAATTTATCAAGACATCACATTGCGAGCAAGCGCAAATGCAAAAACTGAGTGTGTGTATGGTTAATAGCAAACACTGAAATACATTTTTGCACGCAGCAATGAATTTTGTTGACTCAAATTTAGCTGTTCTTCACTCAAAATAAATTACTCCTCAAAATGCAACACTTGCACCTGCAATTTTTTTTTACGTGCGCTCAAATTTATTTTACGTGTGCTCAGAATAGTAGTACAAAAATGACGCCGTAAGATTCTGTATTAAGAGACATGCCTCGGAAATCATTATTGTCAATTCTGCTGATTCTACTGAGATTTCTTTTTGTTTTTTAACCTGATAAGAGCGTTATTCGCACTCCACACTGTATATAAATGCCACTGTTTTGCACATATTCAACTCTGTATATTTTATATATTTTATT